CGTAGTAGCAACTACGTCCACGCAACTGGGAGAGGCGCACGCGACACCATCACAAGAGCCGTCCGAGGTCAACGCCGACTGGAAACGATCAAGTCGGTGACCTTGAGGAGATACTGATGAAGTTGCTTGGGATTGCATTGGGAATGATGACAACAATGAAAAAAGAATAATTTACCAGCTGAGGGAAGCGAACATATATTCCTACTCCAACACTGTATAGGAAACTCCTGAGCTCAGCTGAGGAAAGCGAACATATATTCCTACTCCAACACTGTATAGGAAACTCCTGAGCTCAGCTGAGGAAAGCGAACATATATTCCTACTCCAACACTGTATAGGAAACTCCTGAGCTCAGCTGAGGAAAGCGAACATATATTCCTACTCCAACACTGTATAGGAAACTCCTGAGCTCAGCTGAGGAAAGCGAACATATATTCCTACTCCAACACTGTATAGGAAACTCCTGAGCTCAGCTGAGGAAAGCGAACATATATTCCTACTCCAACACTGTATAGGAAACTCCTGAGCTCAGCTGAGGAAAGCGAACATATATTCCTACTCCAACACTGTATAGGAAACTCCTGAGCTCAGCTGAGGAAAGCGAACATATATTCCTACTCCAACACTGTATAGGAAACTCCTGAGCTCAGCTGAGGAAAGTGAACATATATTCCTACTCCAACACTGTATAGGAAACTCCTGAGCTCAGCTGAGGAAAGCGAACATATATTCCTACTCCAACACTGTATAGGAAACTCCTGAGCTCAGCTGAGGGAAGCGAACATATATTCCTACTCCAACACTGTATAGGAAACTCCTGAGCTCAGCTGAGGAAAGCGAACATATATTCCTACTCCAACACTGTATAGGAAACTCCTGAGCTCAGCTGAGGAAAGCGAACATATATTCCTACTCCAACACTGTATAGGAAACTCCTGAGCTCAGCTGAGGAAAGCGAACATATATTCCTACTCCAACACTGTATAGGAAACTCCTGAGCTCAGCTGAGGAAAGCGAACATATATTCCTACTGCAACACTGTATAGGAAACTCCTGAGCTCAGCTGAGGGAATCGAACATATATTCCTACTCCAA